GACTCCATGCTCCTGGGGAAGCCCAGCAATGGCCTGGAGGCAGCAGCCCCGAGGGTGAGCCATGCGCCCACGTCCACAGATTACACCTGTGGTAGTTCCAGAAAGGGGCCCACAGACTCCTGGGCAGAGAACTGTCTGGTGGGATCCATACAGCACCCCCTCCAGTCTGCTGATTTCCATCAGATAAACACCAAGGAGAACAAGACCAAGCGCCCACGCTAATTCACGAAGCAAAACTAGCCTTGCTCTCTCTAAAACTGCCCGTTCACTAGCTCAGGTTCCATCACATTATTGCATCGTGGCTGTCACTTCTTGCTGGCCGCTTTCCTTGACATTTATTCATTTTGGGTTAGGAGATTCGAGGTAAGGGAAATGCTTCTCCTTTTTAAAAAAAAAAAAATTTTTTTTTATTGATTTCAGAGAGGAAGGGAGAGGGAAAGATAGAAACATCAATGATGAGAGAGAATCATTGATTGGCGGCCTCCTGCACGCCCCCTACTGGGGATCAAACCCACAACCCGGGCATGTGGCCTTGACTGGAGTCGAACCCGGGACCCTTCAGTCCATAGGCTGACGTCCTATCCACTGAGCCAAACCGGCTAGGGCTGCTTCTCCTTTTGAGACTTCACCAAGGAGAAGCCATTGGACAGGACAAGGGAGCAGAAGGATTGCATTTGCCCCTGTTTCTGTCCACTTGGGTAGGAGTCTAGTTCTGTCTCAGGGCACATGGAGGTATAGCTTATATTCAAAGTAACCATGTCTGCAGGACTTGCATTCAGCTTATTGATACTAACATTCAAATCCTCCATATCTTTAAATAACTATTACATTTTATATAGATACATCTTCTATATCTGTTATTCTTTACATCTTTCTACTGACAACGTTTGTATTAGGTTGGCAGCAGGCTCATACATCTTGTGTTCATTGAGTCTCTTGATTGCATTATTTTCTCTTGTGCTTGATTTAATCTCATGTTTTTAAATTTATCAAGGCCCCTAAGTATACAAAATCCACTGCTAATCTATACTAATAAAAGGGTAATGTGCTAATTAGACCAGGAGACCTTCAGGACAAAGCCATGGTGGTGGGGCCAAGGCAGAGGTGGTTAGGGCGATCAGGCCAGGAGGGGAGGGCAGTTGGGGGTGATCAGGCTAGCAGGGGGGGCCAGTTGGGGGTGAGCAGGCTGGCAGGGGGGGCAGTTGGGGGCGAGCAGGACGGCAGGCAGAGTGGTTAGGGGCAATCAGGCAGGCAGGCAGGTCAGCAGTTAGGAGCCAGCAGTCCCAGATTGCGAGAGGGTGCAGGCCGGGCTGAGGGACACCCCTCCCCCCATGCACGAATTTCATGCACCGGGCCACTAGTGTTGCCAATAAGAGGCCATGCTGAGTGATTGGTCTGGAAATGAAGTAAAAGTGGTTAATGACTACAAAGGTGGAAAATCCGTGATGGTTATTGCTCTTCAGCCACGCATGTCCCTTCCACCATAGCTATGAACTTGAAGAATAAGAAAGTGATGGAAGCTGTTAAAGGGTTTGCTTCATTAAAGGGTCTGAAGGCCATGAGACCAAGTTGAGAAGGGCGCATATCAGACACAGAGAAATTTCTAATGACCCGGATCAAAGACCAGCCACAGGACCATTTTCCTCTCAGCACCGTGCCGATCATGGCCAAGGCAAAGCGTCTGCAGTGTTGAGAGAAAAGGCTGGACCCACCTACAATGCTGAATTGACTGCTAGCTCTGGGTGGCTTAAATGACTCGAGAATCGTTATTAATTACGTAGTGTGAAAGTGAGGGGTTAGTCTGGAGTACTAATGTGAAGGCAGCTGAAGAATTTTTGGAAACTCTAGATAAGCTGACTGTGGAGGAAAATTACTTGCCAAAGCAAATATTCAAGTTGATAAAACCCCCCTAATCTGGAAATGAATGCCTGAAATGACTTTCATCCATAAGGAGGCCAAGTTAATATCAGGTTTCAGGGCTTTTAAGGACAGGATAACAGTCTTGCTTGGGGGCAATGTTGCAGGATGCAAATTGAAACCCTTTGTGATCTGGCACAGCGGGAACCCCAGGGCCTTCAAGCATATCAGTAAGTACACATGCCAGTACACTGCAGGCGCCATGAGAAGTCACCGGTGACCCCGCTCCTCTTCCAGGGTGCCCTGCTGGTTTGTTAAGCCAGTGAAAGGGAGAGAAGTAGGTTTGGAGAATAATATACCTTTCAAGATTTTACTTATTGTTGATCATGCTCCTGAACATCTTGCTTTTACTGGTTATCTTCTTCCCAATATCAGAGTGGATATTCTCCCTCGAACCACTACCTCTTTGAGTCAACCAGTGGATCAAGGAATTATAGCAGCTTTTTAAAGATTATTTTATTTTTATTGATTTCAGAGAGGAAGGGAGAGGGAGAGAGAGATAGAAACATCAATGATGAGAGAAAATCATTGATTGGCTGCCTCCTGCACGCCCCCTACTGGGACCAAGCCCATAACTCGGGCATGTGCCCTTGACTGGAATCGAACCTGTGACCTTTCATTCTGCAGGCCAATTGCTCTATCCACTGAGCCAAACCAGCTAGGGCTATCACAGCATTTAAGGCCTATTATCTGAGGGAGACTTTTGCTCAGGCTACCATGCAACTGAGAAAGACATGAAGACACTAATGCAATTCTGGAAGGATGCTGCCATGGTTCTTAAGTTAAAATTCATTGTAATTTTTAAAAATAAAAAAAAATCCATAACAGTGTTACTATAGGTCTACGTTGCCACACATTGTGTCTAACTTTACTATATAATTCTATGTGTAATCAATAAAATTTTTTTACATCATCCTTTAACCTAGGCAAGTATACATTTCTCAGATGAACTGTATAACTATGCCAATATTAAATCCAGATTCATTTTAATCCAACAAAGCATTAAAAGAATATATGATTGATAATATTAACAAACATAATTATTATACAAAACACTTATGGTTTGATATCAATGTACAAACACAAAAAAGTGTGCAGCTTTTTATTTATGAAATGTATTGAGTACTTTTGGTCAGCATGATCGTATAGGTTTCAGGTGTGCGTTTCTATCTTAGAAGATCTAAATATTGCACAGTGTGCCCACCACCCAAAGTTAAAACTTCTCAATGCAGTTTGCTTTATCTGAAAAAGCCTGGTCAAAATTCCATTGCTTGCAAACTCACATAACTATATGTCAGATGTGCCAGAAGCAGATACCTGGCCACACTGTGTAAGGCTGGTAATCTTTTGTAGGATAGGCGGTGTCTTGCTTGCATTTGGGTTGTTGACCCTGAGCACAGAGTAGATACAAAGTGTGGGCCCACTCATACCTGGCTGACTAAATTATCTTTGAGAGAAGAATGAACATTCACAAATGAACCTTCAACTGATGAAACACAGGTATCTTAAGTGCTCTAACTGGCCAAGATCCCACTGGCATTTCTTCCAATGATGAATATTTTCCAAGAACCCATGGGCAGGATTTATTCTTGGGGCCTGTAGCCTGTTCATCCTTCTCAACAAACGAGTCTTGGGCAGGCAGCTTCCTGCCTTCTGGGCCTCCCTTAGATAGGCTTGCTCTCCCTGCACCCATGATATCAGCCAGGGAGGGATGGCGTCTCCACGGAGCACTCAGAGCTTGCTCCGGTATGCCGGATGAAGGAATTCTTCTTGGGGGCTGCCCCACCTGCTAATAAATCAGCTGTAACCAGCTACAGGCCAGATGGCTACCAGCTGGAACCAGATGTACCCAGGAGTGGAGTTAATGTGATTCTTGACAGAGACACTCCTTTCTCCCCACATTCCCAACTTGTCCCACTTGGACTCACTTCCACCTTGGAAATCACTCTCCCTGGGCTACAGGAAAGCTCGCCATCTGGTCTCCTGACACCCCCTGTCTGGGGCTGTGTTGTGCTGACAGTTCTCCACACACACCTTATTGTTTCTAACTTTGAACTTTTGCTTCTGCTGCTCTCTTTGCTGGGGATGTCCTTTTCTTTCCCACCTTCACTCCCAGCCCCCGACGCATTGGCTAGATGCAGTCTGTGCGACTGAGCCCAACATGGGCATTCAAGGAGGGCTTCCAGGAGGAGGTGCCCCTCACCACCCAGTAAGTGCGCATTTCACTCAGCCTTCACGCGTACACTGTTTTCCTGTATGTCTCCTCCCACTGGACTCCTCTCCGGGATGCTCCGGGTTGGAGACCCCGGCTGATAAATGCCTGTTTCCACCTCATCTGAACATGGCAACTAGTTCATAGTAGGTGCTCAATGAATGCACCCAACTAACTCAAACTGAAACGGGCTCAGCCCTCTCCTGCCTTGTATCCTGAGAAGTTGGGAGTCTCTTCCTCAGGGCAACTGCTTCTACCTCCCAGGGGGCTGGGGCAGAGAAGCTAAGGCCACAGCAGCCCCTACCATCTGAATGTCTTTTATTCTTTTGCTTCATTTGGGGAGAGGCAAGGTCACGGCTCCGAGTCCTTGCTTTCGCTCGGTGATTTTTAGGCTTGCTAATCTAGTGCAGTCCCTCTAAGTCCAGTCAGACTAGTGAAATGCTTATTTTATTATTCCTGGACTAATCAGATAGTGCCTAATACCTGACTGTAGAATAGGCAATGGTACAAGTGAAGAATTAGTGGTTATGAAAAACTCTACAGGAAAAATGTTTTAATGGAGACATTTCTATGTACTAATTAATTTTTTGTTTCAAATGTGGGAATTGAGGAAGACAGTTATTAACAATTTTTGCTAGTCCCTGCCAGGGGACACTGGTGTTGCATGGGAATGACATTTGAGAATTTCTCTTCCAGTTAAACAAAATTACAGTTAACTATGCCACTTATCAGCAATAAGTTCTTTTATTTCTTGAAAATGAACAACAACAATTTTTTTTTTTAACTAATGGAGCCTCAGTCCTGAAATAGGCTCATCACCCTACCTCAGTCATTGAAGAAAGTAACCATTTACCATCTCTTTCCTTCTTAGGCTGTGAGGTGGAGATTCTTGGTGTCAGACCCACCTACTGCCTGGAATATAAAACTTCCCCGACGGATATCAATTTTGCCAACGCAGTCAGCGATGCTCTCGACTCCTTCAAGTAAGTGCCCCAGGTTCTTAGCTATACCCTTGTTCTTCCTGGTTTCCAGGACCAAAGATAAATGCTAACGTGAGTTCAGAAGGCTTGGTGTAGGTGGAATGTAGGCCGTGATTTGGTGAATGCTTGTATCTCAGAAGATATCAACAAGTATTCGGCCAACAGGGAGGCTCTGTGGTGAAATAGGTCTGGAAAAGGACCCTACCCTCTTCTTGGAAATGTACAAAGCAATGAGCACATCAGAAGATAGAACTTTATTTTCTTCTCTCCCATGAAACCATAACACGCAGTTTGGAAAATGCAAAAATTAGTAATAGCACATGCGAGTCTGTCAGGGAATGTGACCTACAAGGCAAGTCAGGACAAAGCCTCAAGTCAGTCTCAGAAATCACTGAACGTGACGTCAAGATGGGTAGCCAGGTGGGGTGGTCTCCATGAAAAATCAGCCACCAAGAGGCTGAGGATGTTGGGGCTGTTATGTTTCCAGGGCTGGACCTGGGGTCACCGTGGCTACTGAAGGGACCTCTTGGGCAGGTCAAGGCAGAAGACGCATAGTATTCAGTGTGGAGGCCATGGAAGGACTTCCATGCAGGGCAGCTCCCGAGAGCCTTCACGCCATAGGCACTGGCCACGTGAACGGGCCTCAGATAGCGTTGGCCAAGTATGAATCCCATTCTTGCCACCAGCACCGCAGGCATCATGGGAAGCAGCAGTGACCCCCATGGAGCAGAAGGGAGGAGATAACAGGCTGGCCTTTGCTGTCTCTTAGAGTGATTCCACTTCCATGAAAGTCTATCAAGAGGGCGCTCTGGGCACATAAGGGTTCAGGCTCTGTCCTACAGGTTGGAGAGAAAATAGGTTTAAAATACTTAAAAGTTGAGAAGGAACAAATTAAAATTTTAGGGTATTTGCGTGGGTGGTGGGAAGAGGGGGAGTGGAGACAAAGGGACAGGGTTTGGAGGAAGTCGCCTGTAAGTCAGTATTCTCCACATGGTGTGTAACTCACATGTGCTCTGTGATCTGCCTCCTGCCTACTCTGTGGTCTTTCCTTGCCCACAAGTGCTGGACCACCACCCGCACGACGAACTGGAATGTTGTGTGGCAGCCTCGTTTGTGCAAACAAAGCAGAACGGTGCAGCAGGCGAAGCAGACGAGCTGGAACTTTCGATGGGCCTATGTTTGCATGAGGCTGTTTCCAGCACACACAAATGCTAGCACTCCCTACAGCCTGCCGCCTTGCCAAATATGAAAATGTGGAACATAGTTGTCACACAAACACCTCCCAGTAATGCAACAGTGTTTGGCAGTGTGATCTTTTTTGCATCCATCTTATCTTGACAGCTGAATGGTGTCCCACTGTACACCGCGCAGGGACTCACAGGTAGAGAAGCGCCGCACACACAGCTACGGGAATCCCAGCTCAGCGCTGGCCTGCACGCTGGCCAATCAGGCAGGCCTCCCTGTCCCGAGGCCCACCTGCTGCTGGAGGGTCAGTGCTCTGTGTCCTAGAGAAGTGTGTTTCCGCTTCCTGTTTCTAGGGAAGTTTTCCTTTTTTTGTTTCCAAGCATCATGGCACAGCTATGGCACCCGGGAGGCACAGCTTTACCGTGGAGCACAGCGTTCGGCGATGGGGAGGATGGTGTTTTGTTGTTGTGGGTAGTGGTGGTGCTGGCGGTGGCAGTGATGTGTGTGCACGTGTGTGCGTGTGTTTAGAAAGGCGCTGGGCTCCTCTAGAGAGAAAACACTGCAAAGAACTGGAGGCCCAGGAAAGTGGCCCCAAGCGAGGCCTCCACATGGTGATTCTGGGCTAACACATTGCCCAGCATTGCAGGCGTCTCTGTAGACGGCCTTGGCCTCCAGGGCATGGCGTTCACATGGCCGCCACGTGAAGGATGCCCTGGCGCCGGGTGGCGAAGGCCAGAGCAGGATGGAGCCAGGCCAGTGCAATTGCCATGTGGGCTCCTCATACTGCAGCATCTAACAGGGCCACCGAAATGGCCCCCTGTATAGGGGTAGAGAGTGGGATCTACTGTCCCCAAACTAGTCAGGACTTGACCTGAGAGAGAGGAAACAAAAGCAGGGGGTGGGGGAGAGGGATAATCGGCCAGGTGATGCTTACTGCCCTCGGAAGACAGTAGGATGACTTAGTCTCCCCCCCAAAGAAAAAGGGGAAACCTCTTTCAACCAGTCTCCGCACTACTAGGGCACATCTCATTTCCTCCTCACAAAGCAGAACAAAGGGCCGACAGTGGTGAGCCAACATTTGTCCTGTCTAGAACAGCGGTTCTCAACCTGTGGGTCGCGACCCCTTTGGGGGTCGAATGACCCTTTCACAGGGGTCGCCTAAGACCGTCGGAAAACACATATATAATTACATGTTGTTTTTGTGATTAATCACTATGCTTTAATGATGTTCAATTTGTAACAATGAAAATACATCCTGCATATCAGATATTTACATGACGATTCATAACAGTAGCAAAATTACAGTTATGAAGTAGCAACGAAAATAATTTTGTGGTTGGGGGTCACCACAACATGAGGAACTGTATTAAAGGGTGGTGGCATTAGGAAGGCTGAGAACCACTGGTCTAGAACAATCAAGATGACTTCGCAAGTCGCAGCTCGTTCATGCAAGAGTGTGACTCAAAGGAATCATTAATTCTCTTGGTGCGTGTGTTCAGGCAAAATGTATAAGTATTTACCTTGCCATCAGCCCCAAATGACGAAGCGTGTTTAGAGCCCCATACTCCCCTCTGGTTTTTTCCGGCTTTGTCTCAAATTCCTAGCTGTAATATGAAGAGCACTTAGAGCTCTCACACACGAGTGTGCAAACACACACACACACACATACACACACATGCCTCCCGGTCAGTGGTCAGTGCTGCTTATATAGTGTCTGTTCCCTCTGCTATTAGTTTGAGGAGCAGCAGGAACAGACACAGGAGAGATAAGGCCTTGACAGAAGGCAGGAGAGACGGTCAAGGTCTTAAAGGGGGACTCCCGCCAGGGACAGCCTGTCAGCAAAAGGCCCACATCAGCCAAGACACTGTGTGACGGTGTAGAGCACTGACCCGGCTTCCTTTTCTGGCCTGGGCGTCGCCTCCAGTGCTCATCGCGCTTTACCGACCCGAGTCATGCTCTTGTCGTTCTGCCTTTGCACGTGGACAGCTTCAGCGTGGGGGGTGTGTGTGTGTAGCACTGATGTCATCAAGGCCCACCTGCTAGGGTTGTGTCAAAGCTCAATTACCAGCGACCATTGCTCTACGTGCGGGCAGGTGCTCCGCGGTGTCCCTCTCACCCCACGCCTTACAAGGGAGCCCGCTCCTGACAGCTGAACGCGTGCCTCCTCGACTCGCTGGGACCAGAGCCCAGTCCTCCCCATGGGGTTTGGGACCCTGTCTTTCGGGGCCTCTCCTGAGTGTGGAGTGAGTGACATCTGCTTCCCAGGCATTTCTCAGCCCTCCGTCCACACGCACCGCTGAGGGGTGGGAGCAGGCGGGGAGGGCCATGCTGGCCTGGGCTCGTGCGGGTGGCGGTGCACAGGGGCCTGGCGGTCTGCTCGCTGTCTCCTGCGCTCAGCAACATGCAGCCCCGGTCGCTGGTACTTTGGTGCCTTGACACCGCTCAAGGGGACACCCCAGTACCTCCTGCCCATGGCCACGTCCCTGTCTAAAAAGAAAGCAGGTGAGATCCACGTCGCTTCATCCATCCCCCGGAGTCCTGTTTGCAGGATGTCCGTGCTTTAGTGGTGGGGGAAGGTGCATGACGTGGAGCCCAGCGAGCCCCAGGAGCTGGGCGGGGTCTGGGCGGGCAGCAGCCAGGTGAGCGGGCAGGCCAGCCTGGACGCCCGCAGGGGTCTGGAAGACTGACCGCTGTGACCTCTCAAAAGGTTGGTCAATAACGAGGGGCCATGGGTGCGGCAAGGCCAGGCTGTGGCGACAGCTCCAGTGTCCTGGTCATTGTCCCTCCTCCCCAGGGACCCCAGGAAGAGGGGCAGGGACACAGGCTCAGCAGACGCTGGTGTCCCCTCCCTGCTCGACACACAGGGCAACGCCAGCCTGACGCATGTCTGCGTGGGACAGAAATCGGGTGTTTCTCCCCTTTGCCTCCCTTTTACTGTGTGGCAAGCACTTTACAAACACCAGCTCACTCAATACCCCGGTAGGAGGCTCTGAGGAGGCTTTTCAGATGAGAAATTGAGGCGTAGAGCGGTTTAGAGACCTCCGGGTTAGTGAGAAAGAGGCTAGAATGTGAACTCAGGTGTGTCTAGTTCTGGGTGCCCATCAAAGCATAATTTTCCCAATGAAACCTCGCCATGTGCTCACTACATGAGTGTATGAGAATTATGCAGCAGGTCGAGTTAATTTCTTTCTGAGGGACTCAGGAGATGACAAGACGGGTTGAAAGGAGACTATAAGAAACACGGACGAGGAAAAGGATGGTCGAGAATTATGGGATACAATTATTGTAAGATGCAGAAATGCTTAATAACTTTGAGGATCATCAGACCATAATCTCTCCCAGACAAAAGTACTTCCATCTCGTCAGTTTCCAGCAGGTTAGCAGCCGAGTTTCTGGAGTCTGGGCACTCATCCGTAGTTAAGTCTGGGGAGCGGGAACAAGCTTCCTGACGCTGCCTGGTACCGCACCGCAAGGACAGGCGGCGGCTTTTCTGGCCTTATTTCTAAGTTTCAGATGGCTATTGTGAACAGTCAGTAACGTCCACCATTCCTTGAAATTGCCTCCGTTTCTCTTGCCCTAATTCTTTCTCTTTCCGACCCTCGTCAGTAAGGAAAATGGATGGGACATTATGAACTCTTTACATTGAAAAGAAATCTGGACAGAGTCCTGAGGTGATGGGGGACCTGAGTGTCCCTGAAACCCCGGGACTAGGGCCCCTTGCAGCTCTCAGGTAACTGGGCTGATGGCCACATGTCCTTCTGGCACCGTTCCTGGACCTTCAAGCCATAAATAGCCACTAACAGACCTGCAGACATTCCCACCCATCGCTCCTCACCCGAGCACTCCGTTACAAACGAGCTGGCCTGTGATGGAGACCAGGCCCAGGTGGAAAACAGCTGGCGACCAAGAATTTGTCAGCTAGACTCTAAGCAGGCAAGAGCTCTCAGCCTGGAAGACGTGGGTCCCTAATGAATCAGGGAGACCCCAGCATCGAAGCCTTTCACACAAGGCACGTGCATAAATCCCTGCCTCGCAAGCACCCCGCAGCCGGTGTTGCCGGCATCTGGAGTTGACAGCTTCCTGACACAAAGCCATCAGGTGCCTCTGAGGGAAGCCCTGGCTTTCTGATCACATGGAGATTTGTGGATATGGCAAATAGCCTAAAAGAAACCAGCCCCCTGGCTGCGGCGGCGAAGCGAGGTGTCTAAGACAAAATGACCTAAAAGCATTTCATTGAACTTGACTGCAACAGTCTCCTGGTTGGGAACTGTTCCCCACATACAAGCCCCACCATGGAAGGTTGCACACCTAAACACAGGACACACCGTACAGGTCGCACATCTGGGATGCTGCCTATACAAGTGCACAACACAGCTACATGCTGAGGCTTATCTGAGGGCATGACTTTTCTGGAAGGTTCCATACGTTCAAGCATGGTGGTGGAGGAAGCACCATCACCCTTCAGTGTCATGAACTTGGGCCTCAAAGAAATTTAGGAATAAGTGAAAATGCATCAGGGCCAGCAGAAGTCCCCCCGCCGCCGACACGCTTGGAGATCTCAGTGACTTGTTCTCTGCTGTCTTAGATGCCGAGGGAGTGAGGGTTGGTCATTCGCACGTAAGTGGGTGTGACTAGTGACAACATCATTTGTGGGAAACACCTAAATAACAACCTAACCCAATCCCCGTTGTGTAGGACAGTGGTCATGGCATTTGTAAAGAAGGGCCCATTTATTTTTGTTCTAAAAAGAGAAAAGTGGCCCCGGCTGGGTAGCCCAGTCAGTTAGAGCATCTTCCCAATGCGCTAAGGTTGCGGGTTTGATCCTTGGTCAGGGCACATACAAGGATCAAGCAATGAATGCATAAATGAGTAGAACAGCAAATTGACGTTTCTGTCTCTCTCAAAAATCAATAAATTTTTTTATAAAATAAAAAATAAAAAGAGAAAGCAACACTTCACTTACCTTGAAAGCAGAACTGTGATGCCCAGCTCAGGGCAGGCAGTAGAGCTTCACAGCGTCCTTAAGTGGGGCCCCCTTGGCAAGTCCGACCACAAGAAAGAGAGCGACCGTTACCAACCGAAAGGGGTCCGTTCACTTGTGTGCATCAAAGCCAAAGCAAATGTGAACAGAAGTGAACAGCCCAGAAAATTACTAGTTGAGAGATGGTGCCCACCCAGACTCACAGGGGAGCTAGTGCTCAGAGGCCTGGCTCCCCGACGGCGTCCGGGGGAGGGCTGTATAGAAGGGAAGTCATTCATCGCGGTGGCTGAAGGAGGTGGGGTCGTGGGCTCTGCTGATGGGTGGGGCCAGGGCAGTTGATCACTGCAGCAGGTCCTGACGTCAGCCATGGCGTTGTGCTGTCTGGTTTCGTGAGGGGGTGGTCCCTAGGGTCTTTCTGCTCTCATGGGCCTGGGGTGGACACAACTGAGGTCCAGATGTCACCTGTAGCTTGACCGAAACTCTGTGTGGCCAACACGCCTGAGGCTTTGTCCTTAAGACAGTGTGATGCTGACCAGAATCCAATGTCCGAAGGGCTTGATGATTAAGGAAGGGGGTGGACGGGCAGAAAGGAGGCAGGGTCATGGCAAAGAAACGGAGTTTCGGCGTGGTTACAGGACGAGAACCTTCTCTGGGGACGGTGCAGTGAACGAAGTGGATGTGGACACTCAGAAGCCCCGGTTGGGCAAGTCTCAGATCTGTGAGGCTTTGCCTAACTCCCAGCATCCTCTTTGGTCCATTTCTTCATCTGCAAAGTAGCCACATGCTTTTCGGTAGGGACGCTCCTCGGCGGAGCTCCAGACTTTGAAGGCGTGGCCGGCCGCAGACTGGAGTCTGTACGTGGAGAAGTGAAAACGACTCTGTTTCACGGTGCTGCCTTTGCCGTGTCTCACATCAGCTTTCTTGGGGTTGGTGGGATTCTTATAAGAGAATAAGAACCGTTTCCCCAAGATCAGTTGGGTTAAGCAGAATGTGCTGTGGGCTGTTGAGATTTTTCAGAGTTTTCAGTGATTGTGTTCAGGGTGATGGGGTTGGTCCCGCCTGGGTTTGAGTCCCATACACCTCTCACTAGCTGTGTGATGCTGGCAACTGTATTGAACTCTCTGTTCAATACATACCTACCTTATATGGCTGTTGTGAGGATTACGTAAGATAATGTCTGTAAAAGCCCTCAACATAGCACCTGACCCAGAGAAAACTGTCATTCATAGAGCACTTACTATTATTATACATACAACCGACAGTTTTAAAGCACCTACTGTGTGCCGGATACTAGGCTAGAGCTAGGAGAGTGAGTCACCACCCCTAGGGCAAGAGAATTTCACGATTTAGAGAGTGAGAAGGACACATACATGGGCAACTACAGTCAACATGAAAAATCATAACCAGAGATGAACCTGGAGTGCCCTGTCAGCGCCCGAAGGGCCACCCGGCTGGGCCCGGGCATCACGGCCAGCTTCCCGAAGAGGCAGCACCTCCCCTGAGGCCGGGGGGCTGGTCACGTAAAGCGCACTGTCTGGGCTGCTGCGAGGCCTCTAGCTTCCCCTGTGGATGCTAGACCCGGGGCACAGCAGGCTCTGAGGACCTAGCCTTTCATTCCTCATGTCCCAAGGGTGGGGGGCCACACCAGGAGAGACCAGGCCACAGTGTGTGTGTGTGTGTGTGTGTGTGTGTGTGTGTGTGTGGTGCATTTAATAAAGCTTTTAAGAGAAATTAGGCATTCCCCCAGAGTGTTAATTATTAACCCTTGTAAAGTCCAAGCACACCAATTGGCTCTCATTTCCTCTCCATGGCTTCAGTTTGTATCAGTTACTACTATTACCACCGTCAGCACCATCGTCGTTGTTCTGAGGTACTGGGCAGAGCCAGGGCTGAGGAGGAAATGGGTGGCACATGCCACATGTAGGCTTTTTTCTTCCCTCCCTGACTCCAGTTTCCATCACCAGTTCCTGGTCATTCCTGGCCCGGCCTCGAGGGCTAACCAGCTTGGGTTTTACCTGAGTACTCTGGCCAGAGCGGGTGTTTTTCCCGGGACCCACAGAGGTGTGGTCACTGCAGGATTCCCTCTTTGTCCACACTGGAGCTGACCCCTCCTGCGTCCCCATAGGACAAGGGTCCCGGAGTGTCTGCTGATGTCAGGCCCCGAACACGGGCCTGTTTGCCTCCCAGAAGGCCGTGGTGAAGTTTGCTCTGGCCCATCAGTGAAAACACAGTCTGGGGTTTTAGTTAGAGGCTTCCCGACCGCCCAGCACTAATGGGACCGCCCTTAATTAAAGGGTTGCTTCTCATTTTTCTGCCCGCCCCCCTCATGCCAGCAGGTAGCAGGGACGGAGCTATCAGAGCATCCCTGCCTGTGACCACGCCTTCCACCCTTGGGACATGACGGCAATGCCACAGCAGCCAGAGACGAGTGGCCCATCCCACATGCCCTCTGACCCTTGTCACCAAGGTGCTGAATTCCTGCTCCTCCCCGCAGATCCCACCCTGTTCATTCTTCACCATCGATTCTGCATCCTTTTGTTTATTTTTTACGTTTCAGAGGCACAGCACAGCTTAGACAATCATGTCCTTTAGAGAGTCCCTTCCCCCCCCCCCGATATTCCAAGTACCCCCATGTCCATATCGCCTTGTTACTTAGAGCTGACAGCCTTGCCGGCCCTCAGGGTGGGTTTGGGGATGCCGGTGCCTGCCAGGGGCTGGGAGCCGGGTGAGAGTGGAGACGGTGGGGCCTCTCTCAGCGCTGACTCTCCCTCTGCTGCCCCCAGGAATGGCCGCGCCGACCTGGCCGCCATATACCACGAGCGCATCGACGTGGAGGGCCACCACTACGGCCCCTCGTCGCCGCAGAGGAAGGACGCCCTGAAGGCCGTGGACACCGTCTTCAAGTACATGGCCCAGTGGATCCAGGTGACTGAGAGCAAGGCCCCTGGGTGCCCTCCCTCCTGTCACTCTCCGTCTGTCTCCTTGACGGTCACACCCCTCAGCATCGACTCCTGTTGAAGCTGACAGGGCAGCCCCAGGCCGTGATGGGTCCATCTTCCTCACACACCCCTCCTCGGGGAAGAGAGACCCCTTGTTTACAGCCAGGCCCGGAGGCGGGAAATGACAGGCATTGTCAGCCACTCAGCGGGCAAGATGGCTCGTTCTGCACCAAAGCCGATGTCTGGGAGCCAGGCTGGGCTCTGCCCCTCCTTTGCCACGGCCTGGCTGAATGACTTTAGGCAAGCCATTGTTTTTCCAAACTTGGCTGGGCTGTAGTTTGCACATCTGTGAAGTGGGGAGGACAGGTCTGTCACCATGCAAGTTGGTTGAAAGAGCCACAGACGACAGCAGTGAGGGCACTTTGCTGGGTGAAAGGCCGTATGTGCCCTCTTTAGCACCATTGGAACGGGGCTCAGGTGCCGCCCCTCCCCAGAGTGCTTCTGCCCAGTGTGAACTATCTTCAGGGAGGGAGGCTAGACGATGAAATTCAGACTTGGTTACGTGTCCTTTCTTCTATAATGTGTAGCTTAAAATACCTCCCTCCCTCTCCCCTTCCCCTTCTCTCCTCTCCCTCTCCCTTTCCCTCTCTTTCTCCCCCTCCCCCTACACTCCAGGTCTCCTTGCCAAGTGCCCCACGGTCCCGCTCTATAGCCAGAGCTGGCTGCCTCTGCTCCCCTTCCTGCACCTCAGGGAGGCGCACACTCGAAGCGGAATCCAGGACGATCCCCTTGCTATCACCCCCACCCAGCCCTGGACCGGGTTTACTCTTGTAGCATGGTGCTCGCTCTCGTGGTACAGTGTGAAGCGCTTTATGACTTCTCAGCTCACGCCATAGGAATCAGTTTCACAAATGGGCATACACCCAGACCAGTGCTGCATTTATCTAGAAGCGCCAATTTTACACAACTGAAATTGTAAAGCTACTGTATACTTCGGAGAACTGGTGTCCTAACCAGGATCACATAGGACAGGACGGGGGGTAGATCTCTGCACGATAGCAGTGCAAGATCGCGC